TTCAGGGGGCTTTTGTCAGTTTATTGCTTTTGTGGCCTTAAAGCAAATGTTGCTAAATATGACTCTTCTGAAATGCTTGTTTAATTTAGCAATACGTAGATTTTCCCTATTGTATTTGGGTCCCCTTCTTCATGTGTTCAGCCAAACAAATCAATATTTGGACAAAGTACATAAGGCGCTGGGCCCAACATAATTGGAAAGAAGTCAAATTTTTCTGTGGCCCTTTTTTTTAATTTTGGGGAGAAAATTCAGTGTATTTGCTGCAAAGATAGTGTTTATAGCAATATGGAGAACATAAGAAGGAAAGTGACTAGTGTTAATAGACCTTAGAAAGGGACAGTATAGATTTTCTGTGCTTAGAGGAATTTTTGGCAGTGAGAACATTTTAATTGAGCATCTTCATGGCTATGTGTCGCTAAGATATATTCACAGGCCTAGAACTTACTAGCTATTATTATATATGCCTTTGTCTTTGTGGGGCAAGAGATATAGCTGTTTTTCAGAATTAGCAGTTAATTGAATTATTAGTTGATTAGTTAAAACAGGTTTAAGGTGGTAGCCATTGTCCACCAAAGATGTTTTTAAAGCTTTTCTGTAGCAACCATCTTCAGCAGATGGCAGGGAAGGAGAAAAATCACCTCATTGCTCCAAAGTGTCTGCTCTTTTGTCTCTGAGTGACCAGTGTCTTCTTTGTTTATTAATGTGTGTATGTCTCCCATGAGGCAGAGGAGGGGCGCCGTGACGATATTCCTGTGCCTTTCGGAACAGATAGGCAGGACAAGAGACTGCATTTTAATCTGGGGCAGGCTGCACGGGGGACTGTTGTGGGCCACGTGTTGGACACCTCCAATCTCACCTTTTCATTTTAAGGATAAGGAAACTGAAACCTTTTTAAGTTAAGTAACTTGCCCAAGATTATACGCTAGTGTCACCTTTGTGGGAGAGTGTGGACCAAAATTGAGATCTTCTGACTCCCAATGGAGTCTACATGGGCGATTATAATTTCTTATTAGAATTTATCGCCCCATCTAGATTGTAGCAGCAGTGCCTTCAGCTCCCCAAAACATTCTCCCTCCTTTCCCAAGGAACTTAGTACCTGGCTCCCAGGTTTTCTCTCCACCTTAGCTCTGGCCCTTATGCTAGGGATCTTCAAGATCCATGTTGTTGTTCTCTTAAGCATTCTAACCTCCCAGTTTCTCAGTGGCCTCAACTCTCATGACCTCGTCTCCTATCACCCACATGGATTCCACTTCAGGAATCAAAAACTACAAAATCCCTAATTCCAACAGAATGTATCATCCTTTATTTCTCCTCCCTTTTGCAAAGAAACTTGTATAAAAACTGTCTGTACCACGTGTTTCCATTTTCTTTCCTCTCACTCACTCTTTAGCTCTTGGCCTTCTGGCTTCCCACCTCATCACTTGGCTCGCTGACTTTGCTCTCACTAGATCAGATGGCCTTCTCTCAGTCCCCTGCTTTTTTCATTTCTCTCCAGCATTTGACATTTTTTATTTTATTTTATTCTGAACTTAAGAAATAAAACAAGCATTTTCGTAGCATAGTAGAATAGGGGAAAAGATGATTGTACATGAAACTGGAAATCTATTAAGTATAACTTGCTGTTTTTTAAAATATAGAATAAAGTTATGTAACTTTCTTTTTTTCCCTTTTTTTCTTCCCTCCCTCATCCCGCCCCTGCCCCCGCCCTGGAGATAGCTACCATTAAACGTGTGTGCGTGCGTGTGTGTGTGTGTGTGTGTGTGTGTGTGTGTGTGTGTGTGTGTGTAAAACCATTCGGTACATCTATTTATCAATTCTTTCTCGAGAGACAGTTAGCATCTTCCTTCATATGTCCTTTTTAGTTAACTTTCTATTTATAATAGTCAAAATGACTTAGTCACTCAGAATTGTTCTTAAGACAATATTGTCACTATATACAATGTTGTCTTGGTTCTGCTCATTTTACTCTTCATTATTTCATGCAGTTTCTAAGATCATCGAGCTCATCATTTCTTATAACACAATGGTATTCCATCATGATCATATACCACAATTTGTTCAGCCATTCCCCAATTCAGAGGCATCCCCACAATTTCCAGTTCTTTGCCACAACAAATGTTTTAGAATGTATAGGTTCTTTTCCTTTTTCCCTCGTCGTCTTGGGAAACAGACCTCATAGCGGTATTGCTGGGTCAAAGGGTATAGGCAGTTTAGTAACTCTTTGGGCGTAATTGCAGATTGCTCTCCTAAATGTTTGGAGCAGTTCACAGTTCTCCCACAGTGAATTTGAATCCTAGTTTTTCCACATCCCCTCCAACATTTGTCGCTTTCCCCTTCAATTATTTTAGCCAATCTGGTAGGTATTATATGATATCTAAATTTGCATTTCTCTAATCAGTAATGATTTAGAGCACTTTTTTATGACTATGAATTGTTTTTATTTCTTCCCTGGAAAACTGCCTTTTCATATCCCTTGACCATTTATCAGGTGGGGAATGCTTGTATTCTTATAGATTTGACAAAGTTCTTTTATGTGTTTGAGATGAGACCTTTATCTGAGAATGTGCTTATAAAATTTTTTTCCCATTTTCTTTCCTTCTGATCTTGCTGCATTTTATTTGCACAAAACCTTTTTAATTTAATGTAATTGAAATTACCCATTTTATACCTCATGCTGCTCTGTTGTTTATTTATAAATTGTTTGCCTATCCATGAGTCTGATAGGTAATATAGTCCATGTTCTTCAAATTTTCTTGTAATATCTTCCTTTAAATCCATATATCCATTTTGATCTTATCTTGTTATATGGTATAAGATATTGATCTATGCCCAATTTCTGCCAGAATGCTTTCCAGTTTTTGCCAAATAATGAATTTTTATCTCAGAAACTTAAATCTTTACACTTGCTTGGCTTATTAGGGGAAGGAAGAGAAAGAATAAAGAAGATGTGGTCTGAAAGATCATGTCAGAAATGAAACCCAAAATAGTCTAATAAATGACTTTATGGAGCTGTTATTTAATACTTATTTGGAGTAATGAATCAGAGAATGTCTTTTCCACACAAGCCTATATAGGCATTTATGTATAAGCAAAAGGAAGAAAACAGTTTTAAATGAAAGATATAAATGTCTACAAAATTATTGTGGTGCTTGATACAATACAATACATTATTGTGGAACTTGATACAGTTTGATACATTGTATCTCATATATAGCCATTCTTTTAAGATAACATGGGCATAGTAGAGAAGAGGGAGGCATCAAAGATGACTGAGGATTAGAGGCAAGGGAAAACAAAAATAGAAAAGTACAGTTTGGAAACTACTTTTAGAGGAGGAAATTAGGAGTTGAGTTTTAGCTGCACTAAATTTAACATCAGGACTTCAGAAACATTTGGATGTGTAGATCTGGAAATGAAGTAAGAAGTCAAGGCCATAAATATATAGATTTGGTAGTCATACACGGAGAAATGAGAGAAGGATGGATTAAATCTCTAAGAAACAGAATATTGAGAAAAGTGGAAACCTAAGAACCAAAACTTGGCCATGTTTAAGGGAAAAGAGAAGGAAAAGCTAGTGAGAGAGACAAGGTGTAGTCACAAAGCTAGAAAAAGAACTAGAATAGTAGAACTATAGATCTTTATAGCTGGAAGGGCTCTTAGAGATAACTAATCCAACCCCCTCATTTTAGAAATGAAGAAACAGGCTTAGAGACATAACATAACTTGCCCAAGGTTTCATGGCTCATTAGTGGCCTTCAGAATTAAAACCTGTGTCTTCTAACTCAAGTCCAAGGCTCTGTCCCCTCTATTAGGGTACTATCATGGAAACTAAGGAAGCGAAGAGTCAACAGTGTCAGTTACCATAAAGATATCCAGGAGAATGAGGACTGAGGAGAAGCTGTCGGTCATAGTGGACAATCAGGAGTGCAGTTTTCAGTAGACTCGAGAAGGCCAAAACCAAATTAAGGGTAGAGTGAATAGGGAGAAGATAGAAAATGCAGAAATGCAATCATGGGCTACTTGTACTAGAATGTTGGCAGTGAATTTCTAGGGAGATGGTGGAGTAAGTAGGAGCTAAGGAACCACCTCCACTAAAATCCTAATTACCAGTTCACCAAGTGAAAAATCTCTAATGAGATTGAGTGACTGCTACTTTCAATACTATCTGCTACCTTGGGGCAGGTAGAACAGGAGGGAAGCAGTATCATTTATTTCTGTACACAGAACTGAAAACAGCATCATCTAGCTTAGTGGCAGCTTATTCAGCTCCCTCCTTGTACAGATGATTAGCCTAAGGCCCAGAGAGTTTAAGTCATTGACCTAAAATCGCATAGTTGGTTACTTATTGCAGAGCTGGAATACTTAACTGGGATTTTTTTTTAAATTCCAATCCCATGTTCTTTCTGCAATCCCACATTTGTTATAAGTGACGCTGAGCAAAGTATCATACTTGTGAGCGTTCTTTCCAAAACTTATTCAATGAAGATAAATTGGGTTCAGTTATAAAAATACATAGACTCTAGTAGGGCATATACTATACCCATTTGAAGTTTTGGAAGACTGCATTAACTCTCAGATCTATTGTCTCCACTAACTCTGATACTATATTTCTTTTTCATTAACTGTACTCAGTTGTGCTCCTATTGACCCATAAAAATTAATGCTGTTTCCCAGAGGCCCTAATGTACATCTACCTTATTCTACAGTTGATAGCCTAGGCAGTGGAGAATATGGCCAAAGACCTTTTACATGCTAATAATGATAGCTATTATTATTTCTTATATAACACTTTACATGCATTATCTCATTTTAAAAGGTAGGGATGATCTCGTCTTATGGCACTTAGCACTTAGTTATATGATTGACAAATATTTTTTGATGATATTTATGGTGCTAGGCAGTTGGTATAAGTAAAACTATAAATTAGAAACTTCATTTGTTTTTAATATTACTGATCCTTCTAACTTGTTTAATGTAATAATTATGTTTTGTTTTTAAAGGGAACTGAGAGTAGTGAAGATGAAGAGGCCGTCATTGGACCAATGCCTACAAAAGGACCAGTTGATTATAGTGTGACTAAAGAATTTGAACGGAGAGCTCAAAGAATGAAAGAAAAACTCACTAAAGGAGACGACGTAAGTGTTTTAAATATCTCTTTGGTGCCTAAGTAATACTTGGTTGTAAATTTAGCAGTCCAGTTACACCTCACTGGTTGAATATTAACTGACAGCAACCTTGTCAAAAGCATCAGTTGAAAAGTATACTAATTGATATAAGATATTATGTATATTCTCATGTCTTTTTTTTATTAATTAAATAACTAATGAAGGATGGGTCCAGACCAGTTACAAGGGAATCATGGATGACTGAGCTCCCTCCAGAACTGAAAGGTTTTGGCCTTGGCCCAAGAACTTTCAAGAGAAGAGCTGATGACAAATCTGGCGATCGATCGGTTTGGACGGATACTCCGGCCGACAAAGAAAGAAAAGCTAAAGTAAGAACGATTTCATTTACCCTAGGCATACAGATTTTCCATATAATAATGTGTAAGACAAATTTTACTCAAGAGGTATGAGCGAGAGAAAAGGGTCAAATATAGTATTAATTTGTAATAATGACTAGTAATCTGTAGTGATCTTCTATGATATGGGTCTGACTCCCAAACTCAAAAGCTTACACTATCTCCCTGCTGCTTCTGAGATCAAATGCAAACTCCTTTGTCCAGTATCCAACGCTCTCCACGGTCTTACTGCAGTTACCTTTTCAGCTTTGTTTCACATTACTCTGTTTCAGTCAAACTCTCAAGTGTTCCCCAAATATGACTTGCCATTTCTCTGCCATTCCTAGAACATCTTTCTTCCTCCCTCCTTCAGGGGCTGTTTCCCTGAAGCCTCCCCCAACTTCAAGTGTTCTCTCTCCTTTGTTTTCCTGGAGTGCTTTGTCCTATCATAGCTTTTCTTGTGTTTTTATGCACACAGGTCTGGATCTGTGATTTCATAGGAATGTAAGCTTCTGAAAGACAGGGAATATTTGACTTAGATTTTTTTTTTCATCCTCAGTGTATAGTGCAACATAAGCCCTTAGTAAATGTTTCTTGAATTGAATGACAAAAATAGTGAAGTCAGAAGGAGAAATATTAGTTACTAGGGAAGGAAAATATGCTTAGTCTTTAAGGATGTTGAATTGAAGTACTTATGGGATAGCTGTGTAGAGAGAGGCCTTATGGCAGCTGGAGGGAGTGGGGAAGTCAAGTGCTTTGGGACAGTCCAGGAGAAAGAGATTGAGGCGTGACTTCATGACATAGATGCTATGGAATCTAATTCAGTTGTTAAGGGAGAGGGTATAGAAAGAAAGAAGAGGAGATGCTCTGATGAGCACCTGGGAATGCCCACTTTAAGTAAAGGAGACAGAAGAAGCAGCTAGAAAGGTAGGAGGCGGGACAGGAAAGAGCAGCGTCTTCACGCCCCCATCTGAGGAATTAAATACTGAAGAGCTGCCTGTTGCTGCCTGCTGGCACCAGTCACATATGAGCAGAAAGCTGGCTTCCTGTCGGTCTGGATCAGTCTTGAACAAGGCTAACAATTCGGTGACATTCAGTCAGGTGACTATCATTCAATACAGTACAACATAGACAATGTTAATTGGGGTTTTCTAAGTCAATATGGGGCTCTGCCCCTCAGGGTTAAGTTTCTGTTTGAGTTTGAAGCCACTGGAACATTAAGAGGTTAGGTAACATACCTAGTATGTTTCAGAGGCAGGACTTTAACCCACATCTTTCTGGATCCAGGGCCAGCTTTCTGTCCCCTACTCCCTCTCTAAAACTATTCAACAATCCATATATAATGGGGGGAGGGGGGGCGCGTTGTTTCCCTACTCTTCAATACTTCCAGGAGTCTTTGATCCATCAGTGTGGGTACCCCCACCAATACCAATGACAGCTCATCCATCTATGTCTTTTCATCCTATACAGCTCCTGTCTGTTCTCTTGTAAATCTGCCACAAGCAGCCCATTGGTTGTACTCAGGGCCCCACTCGTAAGTCTGTTGATGTTACTTAAGCACTACGTCCCATTCAGGCTTTCCGTCATTTCCCTCTCAGACTTGCTACAGGACCAGTCCACATCTCTTTAATTTCTTTTGCACTGCTTCTTCTGAACAGTCCTTTTCTGGTAATAGACCATGGTGTGCTTGTACGCACCATGCACTTCTCCTTGGCATTTTGGGTGACTCATGGTGTTTATTCTTCAGAACTTGTGTTATCCCATTATTCATTATTCATTATTCATACTGGAAGAATATTGGTATTAAAAATGTGGGCCTTTGTTTCAGGAAGAAGCTCATTAAAATACTGTCATTTCAGTACTTTGTGTAGTATAATTTAATTGCATAATACAATGACAGGTCATTAAAAGTACTACACAATTACCCAAATACAGTCCAGCCCTCTCTCCTCCTCCTCGTCAGTACTCAACTCTATTCACTGTGTCTGTCCAAGGTATATATTGACGGGGCAACCTGTGGGCCATCCTTTGAATTGCATATCATAGTCTAGACCAGGGGTCGGGAACCTGTGGCTTCAAAGCCATAGGTGGCCTTCTAGGTCCTCAAGTGCAGCCCTTTGACTGAATCCAAACTTCACAGAACAAATCCCCTTAATAAAAGCCTTTGTTCTGTAAACTTGGACTCAGTCAAAAGGCCTCATCTGAAGACCTAGAAGGCCATGTGTGGCCTTGAGGCCGCAGATTCCCCACCCCTGGTCTAGACAATATGCATTTTTTTTCCCACTTGGCTTTTCCAGTGTAGATGGTTAGGCTGAACTCTTGAGTGGCTATGGATCTCATCTAGGAGATTCTGCAATGTACTAGCACTTAATGCAATCAACATGCAGTCATCTACAAATAGGAACTTCAAGAGGACTTCATCACCTAGAGGGAATCCCTCTTCAGTTTGGACTCTGTGATGGACTGTCTCTATGAGGCAGGCAAGCATACATATCCCTGTTTGATATTCAGAATCAGAGGGACACTCGGCAGAGTAATCTTTTGAGGAATCTTATGTGGTCAGCATATGCATGAGAGCATCCTTACTGGGAGGAGAGACTTTTGGTGGGGGCATTTTGCTCTACCAAATCAAGGACTCAGTAAATAAGGCCCTTTCTGTGGATAAATGTGACCATAAAGGTGTGGTCTGCCATCTAATATTGTTTGTGAAGTCTGCCTGATTCCCTTTCATACCTTCGTCCAACTTCTCCTTGTCATACATGTAGATTATTCTCATAAAGATTTTATATAAATGAAAAAGTAAGCATCTGCATATAAGTGGTGATATTTTATCAATTGCCTTTCCTTGGTTGTAAAAACTTAGGGGATTTCTTTTTCCCCTCAAATATTTGAATCCTCTTATCTTTTACGTAAAACACTGATGCTTCCAGCAGAATTCTGTGTATTCTTGTTCTGGCCCAGCTTCTCTTCCTAGCTTTGTTTTCCTCAATTCCATTTCTCCCTCTTCACATCATGTGTCAGGGTTAGAATGAAGCCCAAATGTGGCGGCTCCATTGTCATTGATGGAGAAAATAGTTTGTTTAAAGAAACCTTGACATGTCTTTACCATTTGATTTTTTTGCCTCCTCCTTCATGTTTCATTCTCAAGATGATCTGGCTTTATTTTTTTTTCCATAAACATGTTTTGTGGGTACTCTCCCTTGCCAAGATGGTGGAGTGAAGAAGGAAACCTCTGAAGCCCTTCCAGATTCCCCTCCAAACAACTAGAAAACCACCTTAGAATTGCTCTAGGAGGAGGGAAGGAGTTTACCAGCATGGCAGGAAAGGTCTGTCTCACTGGGGTGGGAGGGGAGCAAGGTCCAAGAGTAGCAGCAGGGGCCTAGAGCAAGCTTCCAAGCCTGGGGCAGTCTACCAGTGAGGCCCCACCCTCCTGCAAGCCAGCAGCTGCCTAGGCATGTGAGCATGTGAAGTTTAGACTTGTGACCCCGCCCCTGGGACCTACCAACAGATAGACCTTGCTTCCATAGCAACCCAGCAGCAGGGCCCCACCCTTCCAGCAGATCAGCAACAAGATCCCTCCTAGGGCCAGCCACCAGAAAGACTCTGTTACCGTAGCAACCCAGCAGCAAGGCCCCACCCCTGGGGCAGGCCAGCAGCTAAACCCTATACCCAGGGGAGGCCAACAGGGAGGTCCCACCCCCAGTACTAGCCAGAAGGGAAGCCTACCCTCCAGAGAAAGCAAGCAGCTAAGCCCTAAAGCCCAGTGAAAGCCAGCAGTAAGACCCAGAGCCTGAACACAAAGACAGGACAGTACAGGACCAGAGCTGAAATCTCACGTAAAAAACACGAAGTCACCAAAAAAAAAAAAAGCTTCACTACAGAAAGTTATTATGGTGATAGGGGGATCAAGGTATAAACTTAGAAGAGGACAATAATGTCAAAATGGCTACATGTGAAGCCTCAAAGAAAAATGTAATTTGGTCTCAGGCCCAAAAAGAATTCCTGGATTTTAAAAAGCAAATTAGAAAAGTAGAAGAAAATTGGGAAAAGAAATGAGAGTAATACACAAATCATGAAAAAAGAGTCAATAGAGTGGGAAAAGATAAAAATTTACTGAGGAAAATGACTCCCTAAAAAATAGAATTAAATGGAAAAGGAAGTACAAAAACTCACCGAAAAAATAATTCCTTAAAAATTAGAATTGAACAAATGGAAACTGATGACTCTATGAGACATCAAGGTACAGTAAAATAAAATTTAAAAAAAGAATAGAAGAAAATGTGAAATTTCTTACTGGAAAAACAACTGACCTAGAAATAGATGCAGGAGAGATAATAGAAGAATTATTGGACTACCTGAAATCCATGATTTAAAAAAAAAAAAAGCCTGGACAACATGAAAGAATTACAAAAGAAAACTACCCTGATATATTAGAACCAGAGGGCAAAATAGAAATTGAAAGAATCCACCAATTACTGCCTGAAAGATCCCAAAATAAAATTTCTAGGAGCATCATAGCCAAATTCCAGAGCTCCCAGATTAAGGAGAAAGTATTGCAAGCAGCCAAAAAGAAACAATTCAAATATCATGGAGCTACAGTCAGGATTACACAGCTTTTGGCAGCTTCTACATTAAAGAACCAGAGGGCTTGGAATTTGATATACCAGAAGCCAAAGGAGATAGGATTACAACCAAGAATCACCTACCCAGGAAAATTGAATATAATCTTTCAGGGGGTAAAAAATGGATATTTAACAAAATAGAGGACATTTAAGCATTCCTAATTAAAGACCAGAACTGAAGAAAAAAAATTTGAGGGGGGGTGGAAATGTTTTGTGTCATCATCTATCTTAGAAAATTTGGGAAAGTCAGGGCATCTTGAAAAGATGAGAAAGGATAAATGTTAATAATATTTTCAATTTCATGCACTGCTTATGGCCATCCCCAGCAACCATTATCCAACAACTCTTGTAGAGATGGGACCTGGCAGCTAGCTGCCTTTCAAGACCCAGAGATTGTGAAGGACCACCAGAGCTTTCCTTCTGGCTTGCAAATGAAACCTCTCTGTGTCATCTCCCCCACTGGAATGTTCTTCCTTTTGTATCCCCAGCACTTAAGCATACTGCTCTGCACAAAATAAATACTTCGTAAATGCTTTTTTTATTTATTTATTCAGTAACCAAGATGGATAATGGAGGAAACATCCTAATTTAAGCACCAGAGCCCAGATTACGAAAAAACATGTGATGCTAGGTGTCTCTAACTTGGCTCTACTTAGAATCATAAATTTAGAATGGACGAGAATGTAGGAATAATTTAGAACAACCCTCTCGTTTTATAGATAAGGAACTGATGTGATCCTTATGGATAATGTGTACGACATTACCAGATTCTAAAAGATAACTTCATGATGCTGGTAAAATTACAAAGGCCTTACAAACAAAACACTGAATTTAAAAGCAAAACTCTCATCTCTCTTGTTTCACCAAAACCATTCAGTCCCATTATACTAATACAAAGAACTTTATATCCTAGCTCTGCCCATCTGTTTTACATCTAGCAGTATCATCAGACCCAGTCTTAATTCAGTATTTTGCTGTAATTTAACCTGACTATGGCTGGTATTGATTTGTTTTTATTTATTTTTTTCTTGTGTGATTTGGTAATGCTCCACCTTTTTTTCATTCACTAGGAGGCACAGGAAGCAAAGAAGCAAACCGGTAAAAGTGAGGAGGAACGTATATTATCAGGAAGGGATAGGAGATTGGCTGAACAGGTGTCTTTATACAATGTGAGTGATCAAGTAAAATGCCCATCTCCTTTATCTTAACTTCTCTCCTTTTCTGTGTCTTCTACCCACCCTCACTCTCATCTTCCCCCCTTCAAATGCATACACATGCACACACGTCCACCTGTCTCTTTCCCTGCTTTCCTTTCTGTCTCTCTTGAAATATACCCAGCTCTGTTGGTTTCCATGGTAATATCACTATAGCCTTTTTTTTTAAACTGCTGCTGAAGGCAATGTCAGACTTTTTTTAAAAATACCCCTTTGTGTAGGATCTTTTTTGTGTGTTCTCATGTAATATTTTCAATTTGTATTTTATTTAAGTGACTCATGTCAGAACTTCCATTATTGGGGATAGACAGCCCTTTTTCAGAAACTAAGAGCCTCCCAGAGTTATACAGATCTTCATCAGTGTTCAAGAGTTTAAAGGGGAAGTTGATTTGGATTGTTTGATGTAGAAGTCTAAACTCAGAGGAGTCTAAAGGAATCACAGTTAATAGATGAATTGAGGATCTCGTTGTCTTTTCTCTTTTCTATTATAGTCTCTAGTATTTCTAAGAAATGCTTTCCAACTTCAAGAAATTGATACAAATCATTGAGACTACTAAAATCCAAAACATTTTTTCATTTATTTTTTATGAAAATTCCCTTACTCCTCGTTGATATTCATTTCAATGGTTGTAACCAAAATCTTAAAACCATAGCATGGTCAAACTTGCCCCTTAGTTACAGTGTATACAGCATTCTTGATGAGCATCTTCCTGGATAACCTTCCTGTGCTCCGGTTCAGACAGGCATAGCAGCTGTAGCAGAAGGAGCAGCCCACTCTTTGCTTTGTCATTACTAAGACACCAAAGGAAGAAAGGCAAGAGGCATTTTAGTCATTGGTCAGTTGTTAATGGCCACAGCCTTATTTCATTATTTCCTTTCCAGTTAAGAGCCCCCGGAAGAAACTTTGGTTTCCATTGCCAAAAATGAATCTCCCAGCAATTTACTCTGGCCGTCTTTCTGATTGTTGAGTTTGTGGCTTATCCACAGCAACCCATTCCCATGCCATCAGCCAGATGCTAGCCTGCCAGTCTTAGAGCAGAGCTAAGTAGAATTTGGGATGACTGGTTGAGGATGTGTGTTTCATATTGAGTCGGTATCTCTGACTCCGGTGTACAGAATTGACATTAACAAGGGAATACTGAAAAAAGGAAAAAAATATTATCATAGCTTACTTTATTAGAGTCTCCTGAAATGAATAAATCAAATGATGCTAAAATTTAGATAGTATATATTCCTCAATAATACTGATAGCAGATAGTCGTTACTATACTATTACATAAGAGGGAAATATGGAAAAGGTGAACGAATGGGCCAGAAAAGCCAAATTTTTATTTCCGGTCTATAAAAGATGGTGATTTCAGAGTCAGTATATGGCGCTTCGGTGAGTCACTTAAACTCTGACAATACAAATCAGGAAAAGAAGATGTTCAAAGAAAGGTAAGAGTGATAATTACAAACTGAGAGGTTTTTGGCTACAAGAAATTGAGAGACACAAATTTGAAAAACAAAAAGTCAAAGCAAAATGTAACGATCAAATATATGAAGAGATAAAAGAATATATTAATCATAGGTCAATCAAGTATCTATGTACAAAATAAATTAAATATAATCATGGTCAAATAAAATTCATTATTTAGAACTATCGTGCCTTATCTTGCACGATTATTGAGAACTGATTTGTATTTAGCATCTTGGTTAGTCTTATCTCCTTATACCGAGCTCTTCTTTCCTACATTGACACATAGAACTGTAGGGGGCATTTATCTGCAACATTAATGATTACTAAAGTAGGCCTGCTAGCTTGGAAGCTGAAAGGAAGATGCTTTTATGTTCACAGTACGACACTTGAAAGTGTCTTTCCACCAGATACAAGAGACGGTCTTTCTACTTTTATATTAAGTCTTTCAAAACTCTAGCAAATGGTAACTCACCAAGAGAACAGAAACATTTATGGTCCTCCTTTTTTAATCCATAGCTTATTAACTCGTTAGGTTGTTACTCCTTTCTTAACTTGTAAAGTTTAGAACACCAGCAGAGGTATTAGGGAGCATTGCTTTATGCACAAATATATAACCTTAGAAGAATTATGCTTACATGGGAAAATAAAAACTTTCAGTTTTTTTCCCTTATTTTTCATACTGTTTTGAAAATTGGCTGCTACCACATAAATTCTAGACATTTTTCCTAATTGTTTTCTTTTTTGAGTTGGTGCTTCTCATTATATTTTTACCATTATTTCCTCCTATAAATTTAGCACCTTTGGTCCTATGTATATCATAGCCTAGAAATGAAACTAAACTTTATTATGTTACTTTGGTAATAGAACAGTACTGTAGAAAAATCACTAGATTTGGGGTTGTAAAGTCTACATTTGCTTTGCCACATCTAACCTGAGTGACTGGGAGACAGTCTTAACCTCATCTGTAAAATGAGGCAGTTGGGCTAAATGATCTCCAAGGGCCTTTCCAGATCATCCATGATTATATTTCATTTATTTTGTACATAGATACTTGATTGACCTATGATTAATATTCTTTTATCTCTTCATGTATTTGATTGTTACATTTTTGACTTTTTGTTTTTCAAATTTGTGTCTCTCAATTTCTTGTAGCCAAAAACCTCTCAGTTTGTAATTATCACTCTTACCTTTCTTTGAACATCTTCTTTTCCTGATTTGTATTGTCAGAGTTTAAGTAACTCACTGAAGCACCGTATACTGACTCTGAAACCACCATCTTTTATAGACCTGAAATAAAAATTTGGCTTTTCGAGCCCATTCGTTCACCTTTTCCATATTTCCCTCTTATGTAATGGTATAGTAATGACTATCTGCTATCAGTATTATTGAGGAATATATACTATCTAAATTTTAGCATCATTTGATTTATTCATTTTAGGAGGCTCTCATAAAGTAAGCTATGATAATTTTTTTTCTCCTTTTTCAGTATTCCCTTGTTAATGTCAATTCTGCACACCGGAGTATTAAAATGTTTGCAGTGACCCCCCCCCGATCTCTTTTTCTCAGTGTTTACAGTTAATGTAGGTTCCAAGTTGTGTCTAATTTACATGAACTTATGTCCTGCAGATTCCACCTGTCTTTGGGTTTTGAAAAGGCAATAGGGAGTCAGACACCACTATTTTTGATGTTGACTGCTATTATCCAATGATTATACTTCATCAGGAGATTTTATCATTATGATGTCATGCTAAGATCTTCATTTCCTCTTCCCTATGTGCCCCTTTCCACCCCAGGATTCAAAAAGATCAGAATCTCTTATGGACATACATCACAAAAAGTTAAAGAACAAGACAGCTGAAGAGAAAAATAAACCCCAAGAGAGAAGGCCATTTGACCGTGATCAGGATCTCAAAGTCAACCGTTTTGATGAAGCCCAGAAGAAAGCTCTGATTAAGAAATCTAGAGAACTAAACAGCCGCTTTTCACATGGCAAAGGCAACATGTTTTTATGATGTGAGTATCCTACTCTTTACAGCAAGGTGCATTTTCATACTTCTGTACTTTGAAGTTATGGATTCAGTTACTTGATATGTAAATATTCTTTTATTTGTATACAAAATGTATTTTATTTTAAAAGAGAGCCAATTATAATACTGCCTTTCTGTATAAATAAAATCTTTGGTTTATAAAACTCAGCCTTGAAGAGAAAATGTAGTTTAATGATAACATACTCTTGCACTGGGATTAACAGTCCAAAACAGAACATTGCTATCAGAAATGTTAAAGGAAATTCAAATATAAACATAAGGGGCAAAGTTGACATGAAGCTGTAGTTTGGAGCCCTGGGAAACACAGCTCATTAAAGCTTAGAGAAAAGAGTCTTGGCAGCAGTCTTTTTTAGAAATAAGCATTTTCTTACATTTAATTTAACGAGAAAAACACTCTGAAAAAGTAGTTTGCATTGCCTGACTGTTCTTAAAGGCCAAGATGCTTCTTTTTTTACACTCATTCCCTAGCTATACTTGACATGTATCAATCACATAAGGACTAAGAAAATGATGAAGTATCTGGCTTCTTTAAAAACTTATCTTTATAATCTATTCATTACCTTAAACTAAAAAACCTATTAAAACAGTAGCAGTTATTTTACCGAGTGGTTAAGGGGGGGAAAAACAATTAAAGCTATAGCCATAGATGAATGTATCAGACCTTTTTTTCCTGTGTCTTGGGGAATGGGGTAAGGTGGGGAGGAATTATAATTCCATGTAATCTCTCTGTTCTACCTTTTTTCTTTGGTGTTAGTCTGTTTTTAGAGTCTCTTCTTTCATACTCAAGTAAATCTACAAATCCTACATTATCTCTTGTGGCCTTTAAAATGTGAAAGCAGAAGAAAATAATGGTCCAAATGTAGAATCCAATACAGCACCTGACCTCTCCGGCTTCTTGGGATGGACTTTTCTATAAATAATTATTATGAGCTTTTCATCTCATCATTATTTTATTATGCCATAAAAGCTTAACGACCGCTGGGTGTTGCTGTGAAATCTGTGAAGGTTTAAAGCTGTGCCCAGACCCTTGGGACCAACACCCCGTATGGTGACTGATCCCTTCACATGCTCTGACCACAGGTTGTGCCTGCCTGATTCAGTCCACCCTGGGATCAATGTGTGAAGGAAACATTTGCACTCGGTCCTCTAACCTAAGACTTAGGGACATTTCCCTCTAAACAGCTGCCTGCGCCAGTAATCACTTCTAAGTAAAATTATTATTGTTTTTGTTTTTAACAGAAATAAGGCCTGTAATATTTACTTGGAGGTAAGGAGAACAATCGCTTTTTCATTCAGGTCTTAGACAAAGCTGTATTCATCTTTTGGTTTTGTTAGGGGGTAAGTTTGTATAGTTTGTTCATGAACATTTAAAAGAGCAGTCATGGATGCCATTTTATTTACCGATGGCTAAATCCCCTGAATAAGAGAACCATAAATGGGAAATTCATGCAACCTTTAATTTCAGCTGCCCATATGAAGGTATTAAGATAACTTGTTAGTGCTTTAAACAATTTTCCTTACTATGTTAGACATAAAACTCCAATTTCAGATGCAAATTCCATTACTCATATTTAACAAATTAATCACATTTGTTCCACTGCTTCTTTGTTCTGGTTTGGGAAAAGCATGTGGGGCTAACATCAGCAATGGGAAAACTAATTTTTATTGAAAACTCCATTTTGGCTTTTCACCGCCTTACATAAATGGAATGAACTGTTAGGTCACATCATCGCACAAATGGCCCTCTCTCTCCTTCTCTCTTTCTCTTTCTCTCTCTCTCTCTCTCTCTCTCTCTCTCTGGTGTTGTCTTTCCTAACACTCACAAATGTAAATAGTAGCTTACTCAAGATGAATTACCACTTTCTAAAACAGAGTGAACAAGCAGTTTCACTGAAATGTCACTAATCAAAGATTAACTTCACTTTGGAAAAAAAAGACTGCACAATGATGCAGAGCGCAACATTTTCTTCTTTCCATCTTCTAGAACACCGAGGCTTCCTTGTTCTTCTTTTACTTTTGTCTTTAAAAATATTTCACCAAGGTAAGCCAGAAATATTTTTAATAGGGTCTTTATGTACAGCTGTCTTTTTTCAGGAATTCTGAAGATGGCCATCATGAAATTTTAGAGCTTTATTATTGTTTGAAGCCAAAATTTTATCTTCACTTTTTTGTTACTTCTTTCATAGGCATATTCTTTACTGGCAGGAAAACTGAGTTCAAAGTTAAGAATCAAAGATTCCCAGCCCCGCTCTTAGCACACTGAGTCATTCAACTTTTCTTTTGCAAAACGTTGCTTATTAAACATTAGATATACTATGACTAATAAAATATTTTAGATTTTAGGGTGACCTTTCTGCACAAAGCTCTTTCTTACGGTTACCGTTACTTCTCTTTGTGCTGGGGAGCACACGTCGCCTACCCCAGACCCAAAGGGAGGCTGTGCTTCCTACATTTGTGTGTTTTGAAGTGTTCACTTACCTTGACACACTAGAGCCAGCAAGTTGTTCTGTCCCACCTTTAACGACAGTTTAAGAAGCATAGGAGCAACTATGATTTCCTCAGGGTTGGTACTCCTGCCGCTAAGGCTGATGGCCGTTCTTCTGGTCTTTGGGAGTTCCTATGGTCAACCAGATGTGGAGCCAGCCTCTCTAAACTTAGCCAAACCAGTCCTGCAATAAAAGCTGCACAGACTGTTGCCAGAAGCCCAGAAAATGAATGGAGATGCAGAGAAGGAAAGCGTTCTTCCTGTTGTTCAGCCCTGCAGAAGGCTTATTGAAATCCAGTCTCTGATACCATGTCAGAGATTTGGGCTTACCTGCACATTAAAAGTTAAGTTTAGGGGACTTTCAACCGAAAAAGAGCCTTGATCAATGGAATGTACAGGAAGTATTTTAATATTCTCTCCTGTTGAAATTAGCATTTCACATTGTCCCAGGGAACATCTGACATTGTCCATAAAGCCATCCCTTTAAATTGTGGGAAAAGCTGATAAGTCATATCGATTCAGATATTCATAGTGGTATCTAGGATATAGGTAAGTAAAGGGTTGTATGTGTATAAACTTTTTTCTGGACTAAAAAGTATATGATGCAGGTATAGATAATAATGTCGTTTTTGTTAGATAAACCAAACCCTTGTGAGTTTTATGCTTGTACCTCTGGACTAGTCATTGCCTTCCAAATACCCATCTAACTAACATTTTTGATCATTGTCTGGCTTTGACGATTGTCAAATGGTAGCGTTTTGGGAATTGCTGTGTGGACTTTGTTGAGACTAGTTGATAGAAGTTTATCTGTTATTAATACCATAGGGCCTCAAAATTGATCAGGACTTTTTATATGAGCCATTTGACTGTAAAAATGTTGCAGCATTAATACAATGTCTTTTTTTTTTGACAAAGCTGCTAATTGTCACGAATAACACTTATTTAAGAGTATTAACACTTATTTAACAGTATTTAAGAATCTAGGACTTTGGAAGATGGACTGTACAGAAACCGAAGACTGCTTTTCAAGATGCTGTTATCTCTTCCCCTTTTGTGTCTTTGGGGAGTTCATACATTTTGCTGGAAGAAATACTCTCCGTTGAGTCATTCCTAATAAGAATCATCATGGAGGAAAATCATCTTGCCTACTGAACAGAAACAAGTGAGGGTTTCTACTCCAGTTCATCAGTTTATTTTGAACTTGCATTTGATGCCATCAAGGGATTTAAACTCAAGTCAGAAGAGATTGCTTCCTTCTGCAGGAAAGGTTAATTTTTTTTTTTTTTTTTTTTTGTTGGTGAGGCAGTTGGGGTTAAGTGACTTGCCCAGAGTCACACAGCTAGTAAGTGTTATGTGTCTGAGGCCAGATTTCAACTCAGGTCCTCCTGACTCCAGGACCGGTGCTCTTTCCACAAAGGTTAATTTTCTTTAACTCAAAAATCATTTTAAGTTTATCCCTGGTGTGAAATATGAATGTGGAAAAATATATATGTGCTGCTTTATCCAGTCTTATCATTATAAACTTTACAATTAAAGAACTGTTTTTGAAAAAATACTGTTCCCAAGATGTGATTCTTAATCTGGAAATAAAGGTTTGTTTAATATTGTAAAGTGATTTTTTTTTTTTTTTTTTGGTGAGGCATTCAGGACATGCCCAAGGTCACACAGCTAGTAAGAGTGTCAAGTGTCTGAGGCCAGATTTGAACTCAGGTCCTCCTGACTCTAAGGCTGGAGCTCTATCCACTGTACTACCTAGCAATCCCTGTAAAGTGATTTTTTTAAATATGATCAGCATTTCTGGTATAAACAGTTCTCACAAAGAGGTTATTTTCTTCAACTTACAAATCAACTATAATCATTTGAGCTGTTGGGAGGAAACACCTGCTTCTCTCCCCTGTCACACTAAGGGTGATGGCAGTTTTGGGGTTGTCTGTTATCTCAGCATCAAGGTGAGTATTGAGTATTTGTTAAACATATAAGCCAGGCAAGGAGAGATGATGAAGATGCTGTTAAAACATCAAGCAGTTTGGGGGGGGGGGGGAGAATACAGACATTAAATCATATTTAAAATCTTGTTTTTCTACTACAAATCCAAGTCAATAAACATTTATTAAGCATCTGCCATATAACAGATACTGGGAATTCGGGGGGGGGGGGGGGCATAAAAAGCCTTTGTTCCAAAGTGTGCTGTATTTGGAGTCAGAGGGTGAGGTTTAAGTAAAGACTGCCACTTACAACCTCTGAAAAAAACAACTTAACCTCTGCCTTGGTTTCCCTAACTGAAAATTAGGGGTTTGGATGAGATGACTTCCAAGGTCCCAACTAAGTCTGTGATCATCGGGAATGGCTGAACAAATTAGGGTATACCATGGAATATTATTGTGCTGTAAGAAATGATGAAAAAAGGTAGATTCAGAGAATCCTGGGAAGAATTGTATAAACCAATGCAGAGTGAAGTGAAGAACCAGGAACAATTTATACAATAACATTGTGGAAACAAACAACCCGTAAGAACTCTGTTCAACACAATAATTAACCGCAGTTCCATAGGACCACTCATGAAGCATGATACCTCGTACCAGAGAGGCTGTGGATTCAGTGCAGCAGCAAGACAAATAGTCTTGGGACGTGGCCAATGTGGGAATTGTTTTTACTTAATTGTTAATCTTGGTTATGAGGGGGTTTTCCCCCCAAGGGGGAGGGGGTGAAAGGTGAGAGGGAGAGAAAATAGATTTTTGTTCATTAAAATTTTTTTTAGTAAAAAATGAAGTTACAAACTTATGCCATTCTGCTGGGTGGATACAACATGTACACAGGTAAATAAAGATAATGCAATGAGAGGAAAAGCACAAATTCAACTACCTCATTAGCTGGCCTCAGACCAGACCTACCAGGTCATGCTTTACATTCCATCTAGCTGACCACTCCAGCTGTCTTTCTGTCTGCCTTGCTTCTCACCACCTGGAACAGCACCTCTCCTCTCCTGTTTGGGAGGACTGGGGCAAAGTTCAGATTCAACTAGCCCACTTATACCTAGGCAACCTCAAGCCAGACCATACTTCTCATCCCAGCCAGCCGCCCCTTAGCTCCATCTCACCTCGTCCCTCCTCTTAGTCTGAGCACAGAAATTAAACCAATTCTACCATTGTTAGAAGTACTCTGTTGATTGGCTGCTCTGTGGATGAAATACAGCGTCCCTGTGACTCTTGAAACACTCCCTTTCCTGGCCCCAATCTCCATAAATGTTGGCTCTCCCCATTAAAGTGTAAACTGGAGGGCAGAGACTATCTCTTTTCTGTTTGTGTCCCTGATACTTAGCATGATGTCTGACATAGTAAGCACTTAATAAATATGTTTCATTTGTCAAGAATAGCTTCCATGAATATAGCCTTAAAAGAAACCAAAGATTTCTATAAGGTTCAAGGTGTGCAGGAAGCAGCGGGTAGGACCCCTTCCCTTTAACCAGAATCAGGTGACATGTGATTTGAGAAACTTAAGGGGGAAGGTAGGGAGGTGGTTGTGATTGCACGTGGGGAGCTGCTGAAGAAGCTGAGGTTGGTGGGACGCTCTAGCTCAGGAGTTCTGAGCTGCTGTATGGCTAAGCCAATCAGATGTCTGCACTAAATTTAGCATTAGGGTCAGAAAAACAGGTCAAAATTATCATGCCAATCAACATGTCAAGCTGTGAGTGGCTGCTACACTTCCAGCTTAGGAGAGATAGACCCAGTTTCAAAAAAAAAAAAAAAAAAAAAAGGAAAGAAACCAGTGAGTTTTGAAGTGAAAAAGTGAAAGAAGTTTTATTAATAGTTATTTCATAAATGTGCTTGCTTAATAGATATGATCTCCTGGGGCATAAGAATCCTGAATATAAGGGAGAAGGGACTATCTAAAAGGACAAGAATAGCGAGTAATGTAGGAAAGCAAAAGAAAGGAATGGTTAAGACCTTAGTGCTTAAATTATTCTGAGAACTGAATACATTTTTATCATAGTCAGACATTATCTGGACCAGTGTTTTACAAACTTTTGTTTATCATATATCCCTCCCTGTCAGGTTAAAGAAAACTAGGATATTTCTTCACTTTGTGAATTTTTTTTGTTATTGAATCGTTTCAGTTGTGTCCAACTCTTCATGACCTCATTTGGGGTCTATCTTTGCCATCTTCTTGGCAAAAATAGTGGAATGGTTTGCCATTTCCTTCTACAGCTCACTTTACAGATGAGGAAACTGAGGCAAATGGGGTTAAATGACTTGCCCAGGGTCACACCACTAGTGTCTGAGGCCAGATTTGAACTCATGTCTTCCTGATTCCAGGCCCAGTGCTCTATTTACTGTGTATATTTAATTTTTAAAATACATACATGCACTAAACTAATAATTATGTACTTTATAAAACTTAAGGAAAAATAGAAATTTTAAAAATGAGATGAAGATGAAATAGCATTTGCCCCTAAGGTCAATAGAGGGCAGTGATTTGTTGAATAAGGGAATGATAGGCATTTTAGGGAAATAACTTTGGCAGCTGTGTAGGGGATAGCTATTGCCAAAATCCAGTAAAGAAGTGACAACGTGAACTAGACTTTGTGAGTAGAGAGAATGAAAGGAAGGGTCAGTGTGAATAGTGAGAAGTGTGGAAGGTTAGAACTGATGAGATTTGGCAGCTCATTTGATAGGTGGGGTGAAGGTCATTGAGAAGTCAAGGATGGCCATTGTGAACCTGAGGAGAATGCTGGTGTTATATTTGACAGTAACGGGGAAGTTTGGAAGAGGGACGAATGGGAGAAAGGGCTAGATAATACAATGTACTGAAATGTGTGATGTAGACAGTACCCATCCAGGTTTGCTCATCTTGTAGAGCTTATTCTGTATCAACCAAAATGAAAAGGAAAACAGGCAGAGCCCTTACTCTGATTACTGCTATAGAGCATAGCCTCCCATCCAGTGGGGTACCTACCACATTCATGAAAGGATCTGGGGGACAAGAGGTAGATATACTGTGGGAAGGGGCTGAATAGTAGATTTTTCCAATGGCACCCGTGCAGTTGCTGTTAGATTATAACTGCCCTGAGGGATTGAGCCCCATGTGCAAGTTGGGAATTGACAAATAGAGTTAGAAGGAGGAGTGGGAGAGAATAAGGCCATTTGGTTATGTTGGAGACAGGCCCCATTATTGGGTGTCATGGGGAGGGGAGGATGTGTCCCACTTCCTGGTTCATCACACACCCATTAGAACCACGGCACACTCCCCCCAGCGGACCCTTACCCTCCATTCTGTAAACTACTGGTCTAGCTCAGACCTGCATTTTACAGAAGAAACAAGTAAGTTGTGGTACAGCTAGAATTCTTTCAGAGCTCCTGACTCTGAGTCCAGTGATAGCTTCATACTCCATACTACCTCCATTTACAATCAAATAAGTTTGCATAAACTTGTTGCTATGTATTGTAATGCACTGAACCGTGACAGCGGCCAATGGTGAAACTGAAGTGGTCATTCCTCTGAATCGCCAGATTACAGACCACAGAAAGAGGAAGGCGCCCCCTTGTGGACTTCTAGATAACGACAATTTGCAACAAACCCTGGAGCGTGAGACTTGAACACTGTCTAGGGCTAGGTTAGACCCACCCATACTGTTTTGTTTATTTTACTTCAAATGCGATTTTTAAAAAGAAGTCAACCTTTAGGTAAACAAACACAAACTTATTAATCCTGGCTTACTGTTGAGTGTTTCATCCATAATACCATAAGCATATTGGCTCCATGCTTAATTTATCAGACAGACTTTCTTGAGGGGGTGAGGATCATGGTCCAACTGTCTAAAAAAATTGCCCCCAAAGCTTAGAAGGCAACCTGCACTTTTTAGATTTATCCAAGTAGGAGAGGGAGCAACAGTAGATTGTCACTCCCATAAAATGCCTCATGGCTTGCTTGATGTTGAAGCTAACTCCCCCTG